GGACAAAGGAGTGGTGATATGTTTCCGTAAAGATCACAGCGGAGAAAACCCTGTGGGGCAATCCTACTCTGCTGCATGGGGTGGCTAAGAGTGGAAATCGACTCGATGGTAACTGACAATAAGAACAAATGAAGTTACAGTATGTGCTCCACGTTAATAGTAAAAGCATCTAACTGTGTGTTTTTACTATTCTGTTAACCTTTCCCAACATGTCAACAAGTAAAACGTAAAGCTGATTAACAGACGACCGACTGTATTAAATGGATTTCACTACTCAACATCCAACTACCAAACAAAAAAACCCGCACACTTGTACAAACGTGATTTTGCTTCCCATCAAAATTCACTTCTCTTGTATATTCTAATCCTAACTCTCCTGTTTCACAAAAACCCACATTCTAGTACGAATAAGTATTTAACAGAGAAAACCTCCTGCTGGAGCTACCGCTGATGAATATGCATTATTAACTTTAGATCATCCACAGGCTACATTTACAAATGGAAAATATTTAATGCTAAACGTATATAGACAGTATAATCACAACTGTCCAAACAGACACAAAATCCCTATACCCAGAACAAGACTAGACTACCCCAGCTAGTAACAAAAGTTGTATGAGTTGTGAGACTGTCTTTTTCTTTGCACTTTTAAGGATTGTCCAAATTTTCTTTAATGAACACCTCCCACATTACAAAAAAGTCAACCAAAAAGTATTTCTAAAAAGAGAGCCAAATGTTAAGTGAGATGATGACTCAGCACAAAGGAACAAAAATGGAGGAGACAGATTAGTTGACAATATTAAGGAGCCCTGGTGGTGCCGTGGTGCAGCCGCTCCACGGGAGAAAGACCTGGTGATCTGCTTCTGGAAAGATTACAGCCTAGAGGACCCTGTGGGGCAGTTCTACTCTGTCCCACGGGGTCGCCATGAGTCGGAATTGACTCGACGGCATCTAACCACAACACCGCAAAGGGGTAAATGGTCATTTTGTGGAGAAATGCATTTGAAATGTTAGGGGAAATTTTCATAAAAGGCACTTTAAAAAAATGTGTATTTGGAATGCATATAAGGTCACTATTCTTAACTTCTGTTACATAAGAGAAGCAAACTCTCAAGAAAGGTGCCATTGGCGCTCTCAGATGCTGAGTTAGACCATCAGAGACCTGGAAGTTGGGGCCGTTTCTATTCGTCAAGCTGCGCCCCGTAGTCTGACTCACCCGTGTAGCTGCAAGCTATTCAAGGTGGTCCACTTTTTCCAAACATCGATGTTTTTCCTCATAGTGCCATCTCCGCTGAAAAGAAAGAGGGTTAAGAATTGAAAATGTTCTACAAACAGATGAAAATATTTAACGGATGTGTCATATTCAAGCGCAAATCCCAAACAGGTGTTATAAACATCAATTAGAAAACAATGTCAGTTCTCGCCAACTACAAATCACCCTTCTACCCCTGTTCCAGGGATGCTCTAATGTGGTGTACTTTTTAATTACACTTCAATTTTCATTTCAATACAGAAATGACAGATTTGAACAGGAAACCTCATTTAACACTTAAAGACAGATTAATCTGCTTCCATTTGCGAAAAATAATAGCAACAGTAATTTGCAGAACCGGGGCATGGAATCTTGAATAAACAGAGGACGTTCTGATCCTGCTACTCTGAAACTTGGTTCACCAACAACGACGTGTGAAGGAGAATTAGATGAATAACGGTAAATTTCCACTGGTAACAAACTGTCCACAGCAAATCCCATTAAGCCAACTTAATTTCTTCACCCCGTTTTTTCTACACATTACAGTTAAACGTTTCTGATTACTTCCTTTTAATGGAAATTACTTTCACGTTTTAATTAATAGAAATTATTTCCATGTACATTAGGTAATAAAGACTTGGTTCATTAATCCTTCTGTCCGTATCAAATTCCATCTGCCAAGTTCTTCCAGGTGGAGCTCCTGCCCTTTGTTAGTCTTTCCTGCAGTTTCACTGCACTTGGTAGTCTAGCTGCAGCATCTCTGAAGTAAAGGTCGCGGGACGGAAATGCCCCAGGTGAGTTAATTCCTACTTTCAAATGACTGCTCTGGCTTATAGACCAAAACCAAACCCTACAGAACAGAGCAGAGCTGCCCAACAGGACGTCAAAGGCTGTCATCTTTGGAGGAGCAGACCGCCAGGTCTTTCTCCGGTGGAGTGGCTGGCAGGTTCGAACCATCAACCTTGGGGTTCGCAGCCCAGCACTTCACCCTGCGCCACCACAGCCCCTTCTGGCTTATATGCTGGCGGCTTAAAATTCTACCGTAATCCTGAGGAATTCTTCAGCCTGCAACTTACTGTAATGTCACCTCATTCTCAAAATACGATACAAGAAACGAGTTATATTTCTGACCGTGGGAAAACAATGACCCAAAGAAAAATTAGAAAATTACTAACGAGTGAAAAAGGGAATTTCGTTCATGATCTATTTTAATTTTTACGTCAAAGAGGAAATCTTCCAGGTATTTAAAAACTCAGCCACATTTGCTAGTACCAGCTACACTTTTCAAGCTGGGATCTGCCACTTGTTTAAGCAAAATGGCGTTCTTCCATCGGGTGCACCGATACGAACACCATGCTCGGTGCTGAGGCTGACGTTCAGCGGCCGTTTTCCTGTGCTCTGGTTGCAGCCAACGCATGGGGTTTGCAAACGTACCACCTGCACCACGGTGCAGTCCCAGTCCGCATCAGTCCCCCGGACTTTAACGGACGTACTCGTTGTGTGTTTTCCTTTGCTGAAAACATAGTCAGTCATGCCATGGAATTCTTTTATACGTAAAATCCAAAATTTACATGTACAATACGGAGAAAAGTGTATGGAAAAATACAGGTAAACGTTTTCGCAAAGGTCTGAACTCCTAAATGTGTTTTTGTGCTAAATAACACCACCTCGGTCTTAACTAAGGTCCCTGGGTGGCACAAACGGTTTGCGCTCGACTGCTAACCTAAAGGTTGGCAGTTGAAACCCACTCAGCGGTACCACAGAAAAACAGGCCTGGCGATCTGCTTGTGTAAAGACTTCAGTCAATAAAACCCTATGAAGCAGTTCTACTCTGTAACACGTGGGGTCGCCATGAGTTGGAATTGCCTCTCGACAGCAACGAACAAGTCTTAGCTTGTCGTGAAAACCCAGTGTGATTCTTATTCTAGAACAAAGGTTTTCGCATACTCGTCGGAAGTACAAACACAAGATCTCAGATGAGCAAACCGCCGTAAGCAGCAATATCCTGACATCCGTCACAATGAGAGTTGATGGTCCTATTTTCCTCTCGGGTGTTTTCCGACACCCCTCTGGGCATCTCCTGGCTGGGCCCTACGCCTGCCTGCTGCGCAGTCTGTTACTACATCTCTCCCTACAGTCTGAACGGCCGTCTGTCTGCTGATTCAGGCTCAGAAGCCTCTTCCCCACGCCTGCTGCTGCCACCAAGACCCCGTTCCAGGACGCATGTCCACCCTGGACATGACGTCCTGAGAGGTTCCGGCGCCTGGCTGACACACACACCTGCAGGGCACGTCGCAGAGGATGCGGTCGTAGAAGAGCACCTCCTTCCGCCCGCCCACGTCCATCTGCAGCCGAGGGATGCTGGACGCATCGTGGTTGACCACCATGATGCAGGGGCTGCTCAGCCTCTTGGCCTGGTGGACCAGCAGGTAGCAGCGCTTGTTGTCCACGTCGTTGGCGATGACGAACCCCTCTGGGAACGTGAAATCGTAACATCAGGGGAGAGGCAGCTTGAGTGAGTCCAATCCTGGAATAAACCACCTCCAGGCTGGTGGGTGAGAAGCAGCCATCCCTACACCAGACCTAAGACCTGAGCTCAGGATCTGCTAGAAAGGCAGAGGGGCCCCAGAACGGAGCCAGGTGCCCCGCAGGGTTTCACGGATACTTGCAATTTCAAAACGTCAAGACCCCCTGGATCGACAGTTACTTTTTGAGTTCACTATGTTCCCCGCGTGGTCCCTGGGCGGCGCAAACAGTTTGTGCGCCGCTACTGACGGAAAGGTTGGCGGGTCAAACCTGCCCGAGGCGCTGTGAAAGAAAGGCCTGGCGATCTGCCTCTGAAAGGCGGTCGCGTGAAAACCCCAGGGAGCACAGTTCTACTCTGACACACGGGGTCGCCAGGGGCCGGGGCCGACTCCACGGCAACTGGTTGGGTTTTGGCTTTGTGTTCCAATCGCTGCGCCAAGAAACGTCTCTTTTATTACTAACATCTCTTAATTCCCAAGCAGTGGGGAGAAAGCTGTGCCAGGCTCCACCAGACTCTCACCTAGACTCCTGGGGTGGGGCCCAGGCTCCTGACATTCAGCTGCTCCCCAGGGGACTCTGACCTGTGCCCTGGGAGAGTCTCAAGTCTAGAAAGCTTACGGGGGCTCCCTCTTCTCACCTCCAACTAAAAGGCAAACGCGTGCTATGAGCAATAGGGCTCTGTGGCCCCACGGGAAATGGCAAAAACACCACCACCACGCAGAAGGGGTATCACTCCTGCTGGCATGTCGGGCTCTTACTACCAATCCAGAGAAAATGGTTAAAAACGGGGCTGAAGACGTCTTTTCAGCAAAGACATTATAACAGAATAGAGGCCTTTTAAAAACCCAGCTAAGAAGCAGGTCTGTTAACACAGAACTAGGGCAGCTGGCTTAAAGAAAAGGAAGTAAGGCGAGATAAATGTTGGTAAAAACATCACAAGACCTGAACAAACACTAGGAGCAGCATTAGGTTTTTACTTCTTGGAAGACGCCCATCAGGGGCGTCAGGGACAGGACAGACACAGCTGCCAGTCTGAGCACCGGCAGGGGCCCAGGTGTCACTCAGTGCTCTGCAGACAGCCTTGCGCTGCCTCCTCGGGATGGCCCGTTTCAGGGGCTGTGGGAGCCGAGCCCTGGGGTCTGACGGCGGCTCTCGTGGCCTCGCTCGCACGCTCCACGCAGCACTGAGACACGTGAACAACCAGGCAAGCTGGTGCTGCAGGAGGTTCAAACTGCAAAACCTACCACGGCCTGGTAATGAACTGCCACCTGCTTGTGCAGAAAACGCACATATCCCTAAAATGAAGGCCTCCAGAGCGTGGCGGGGGGCACAAGTCCAAGAGGGCACCAGATGACGTGTGGAATGACATTCCAGGGTGCCACGGACAGGAAAGGCGCTTGACTGAGGTAGCGGGGCAAGGGGGGGGATGTTTCTGCTGACGCGTCGCGGCTATCAACGTCTGTCATCTTGAAATGGGGGGGGGCACCCAACGTAAGAGACTGTCGTGGGGCACGCGTTACCCCTGCTCCGGAGGCACGGACGTGCAGCGCCAAGCACAGCTGACGGCGGCATTGAAAGCGTACAGTTCTACCTTCAGGACCTGGCCCAGCCCGTGGCAGGATCTGTCCTGCCTCTCCACCCACCCAAGTCGCCCCCCACTTCTGGAACACAAGCTGGGTGCCTACCTGGAAAGGGGATGTTCATGTCCGTATGCAGCATCTCGATCAGCTGGGCGGTCTTTGACCCGGGGGCTGCACACATATCCAAGATCTAGGAGAGAAGCAAGACGCCCAGGTTTTTACGTCAACAAAGCAAAACGTTACATTTAACGCAGAACGATTTTATGAGTCATTCTAGTATTTTGATTTCTATTCCAAGATCTAAACGCATTTCTTTAGAGACTGAATAACAGGAGCCCTGGTGGCACAGTGGTTAAAGCGCTCAGCTGCTATACCAAAAGGTCAGCAGTTTGAACCCACCAGCTGCTCCGAGGGACAAAGACGTGGCAGTCTGCTTCCATAAAGATTCACAGCCTTGGAAATCCTGTGGGGCAGTTCTACCCCGTCCTATAGGGTCACTACGAGTCGGAATCAACCTGAGGTGGTGGCTTTGGGTTTTTTTTTTTTTTTTTTTACAGATTCAATCTACAGCATGACCTATTTTGCTTAGAGGGACCCCATGATATATAACTCTCCCCCGAAATCACAGTGATAGACACCGTCTCCAGAGAAGGGCACTTGCAGCCAGTGAAAGCAATCAACAGAGACAAGCGGGTGAAGACAGGGATCGCACTAACCAGCAGCACGCCGCGTCAGGGGCCACGCGGCCTGGACCCGAGTCTCAGCTCGGCCCCTCAGGAGCTCTGAACCTTGGGCCAGTTACTTAACATCTCTGCCTCCTTTTCCTGATCTAAAGAACGGGGCCAGTGATAGCATCGATCCTCACAGGGCGTGTGCATGAAAAAACGAACTAATTCATATAAAACCACAGGGCGGTGCCCACATGTAAGGAGCTCTCTCGGTACACGCTCACTAGATCTTCAACCTCACCTAGTAAGATCAGAGGGTGATCTGCACACTGATCAAACAAACGAGCCCTGCTGGCACTGTGGCTACATGCTCGGCTGCTAACTGAAAGGTCGGTAATTTGAACCCACCAGCTGCTCCACAGAAGGAAGAGGTGGCAGTCTGCTTCCGTAACGATTACACCCCTGTAAACCCTGTGGGGGTTGAGTTGAGATCTACTCGACAGCAATGGGGTTGGTTTGGGTTTGTTTTAGCCGAAGTGTAACGGAAAAAAAAAAAGAAACGAACAGGCAGAACCCCGACAGCACCCCGGGCCCGGTTCTCCCGCCACCACAGTACCTTGTGATGAGGCTGAACATTGAGCAGCAGAGGCGGAATCATGCTAACAGCTTCCTGACGGCTGATGTTTCCCTTCGGAAAGAAAAAAGCATCAGCAACCGTACTAAAAATAGACAATTCCAACATTGGGCATTATTCCAAATGCAATGGAAAAACAGACCACATAATCTTACTGAATGAGTACTATCACAAAACCCTAAATTGGTATGACAGATTTTTACACTAGTGGATTAAAAATGTGCTATCCAGAGGCTGACAGGCAGCGGCGTGTCAGTGGTAGAATCCTCACCTTTCATGCAGGAGACCCAGGTTTGATCTACGGCCGACGCACCTCATGAGCAGCCACCACCCATCTGCCAGTGGAGGCTTGTGTGTTGCTGTGATGCTGAACAGGTTTCAGTGGTGCTTCCCAACTAAGACAGACTAGGAAGAAAGGCCTGGTGATCTACTTTTGAAAATCAGCCAATGAAAACCCTAACGACACAAGGGTGTGATCTGCAACCAATAATGGAGATGGTGCAGGACCAGGCACCATCCTTCTGTTGTACACGGGGTCACCAAGGCTCGGGGACCGACTGACCGGGCAGCGCTTCCTTCTGTTGTAATGGGGTCGCCATGACTCGGGGCCCGACTGACCGGGCAGCGTTTCCTTCTGTTGTAATGGGGTCGCCATGACTCCGGGACCGACTGACCGGGCAGCGTTTCCTTCTGTTGTACACGGGGTCACCAAGACTCGGGGACCGACTGACCGGGCAGCGCTTCCTTCTGTTGTGCATGGGGTCACCAAGACTCGGGGACCGACTGACCGGGCAGCGCTTCCTTCTGTTGTAATGGGGTCGCCATGACTCGGGGACCGACTGACCGGGCAGCGTTTCCTTCTGTTGTAATGGGGTCGCCATGACTCGGGGACCAACCGACCAGGCAGCGTTTCCTTCTGTTGTGCATGGGGTCACCGTGACTCGGGGACCGACTGACCGGGCAGCGTTTCCTTCTGTTGTGCATGGGGTCACCATGACTCGGGGACCGACTGACCGGGCAGCGTTTCCTTCTGTTGTACACGGGGTCACCAAGACTCGGGGACCGACTGACCGGGCAGCGTTTCCTTCTGTTGTAATGGGGTTGCCATGACTTGGGGACCGACTGACCAGGCAGCGTTTCCTTCTGTTGTGCATGGGATCACCGTGACACGGGGACCGACTGACCGGGCAGCGTTTCCTTCTGTTGTGCATGGGGTCGCCATGACTCGGGGCACCACTGCTCATTAATGCCCCACACTTACACTAGAATACCAAAGATCCTGAATCTCCTAAAATGAACTTGAAGCTTCACAGTCCCTACTGCCCATGTGATGAAAGAGGAAGCCAGAGGACCAGCTCTCAGAGGCAGACAAGGCCACGAAACTCCGCTGGCAATAGTGGGCATCGAATCTAGTGCGGGATAGGTAGCTTTGGTTGGGACGATTTTCCTCTGAGCTAAAATTGTAACTTCTATTTCTCGGTCTTCAGGAGCAACCAATGTCCATTCTGTGTTGCTCAGAGCTGCCTTCTGAAGAGATGAAGGTCTCAACCACCTCTCTCTTGCTCTGACAATAAGCAGTATCTGCAGTTCATCACTGTGTTAACTGGCCTCTAGCTCTTGAGAGGCTAGTGTACCTTTTAAAACGTGTAACTGTTCCAATTGAGATACAACTTTCTGATGTGGTCCAGCACTCGCCTCTGTCACAACTCTTCACAGCTTTAAAACAGAACACTTACAAAAGAAAACACAAATGATGAAGCACAGGACCCGGCGAAGACTCCTGCTCCACTGATCACGGCCGGCATCTTGTTACCCGGACGGCGATGCAGGCAGGCGCCACCATCGTGTGCACCTCACGTTCCGACTCTGCAGACGGACTTGTCCGTTTTCCCTGGCCCATTCCCCTCCTGTGGCCGGCAGTGAGTCTGAGGCCTTGGGAACCTGGGCTCTCTCTTGGCCCACTGACTCCGAGCTTTGGGGGTGCATATGGGACTCCCATGGGCCTGCCTTCTGTTTTCACCCAGGTTTAGGTAAGCTGGGTGGCAGGGCCCCCGACCTCAGACGTCCCGGCGTGTGGTCACCTGGCTCGTCAACACACTGAAGCCGCTGAGTAACCTGGAGGGTGTCCCTGCTAACCCCAGGATAGCTCTCTGTGCCAATTCCTGATCAAACGCCTGTCCAGCTCCTACAGGAGCCCCACCAACACCCGGTGACCCTCCCCAACTTCCAACGCCGCCAACGCCGGGCTCTTCAAACCTAGCCATGCGCACGTCATGACCCCATAAACCCCCCCCTTCCTGGCCTGCCGTCTGCATGGAAAGCTGGGCAGGAGATCCCAGGAGCACCTGGCGGGATGCAGGGCAGCCCTCGGCTCTGGTTTATGCCTTGCTACGGGGGGCAGGGGAGGCCAGGTAAACTGAGACCAGTGTAGCAGGCTCCCTAAATGGGCAGAGAACCCAAATGGCAGGAAACGGCCTGAGAGCCCAGCAGACATTTGAGCTGAGATGAAAGGGTTCTAAACTGTGAAGCTTCAGGGAACAAACACCAGCAAGCACAATAATTCTGTCCAACAGTTTCAGACATTCAGAGTGAAAGAGAAAAAAGGCCTTTCCTCCTTGTCTCAGTCTTGGAGCTCTGCTGAAACCTATCCACCATGGGTGACCCTGCTGACATCTGAAACACCAGTGGCAAAGCTTCCAGCATCACAGCAACACACAAGTCATGACGGTATGATGGACAGATGCTTGTGGTGGCCTGCTTCTATGAAGGATAAAATTCTGTGTGTCTCCGCAATCTTTTTAGCAGACGGCCTGTGGTGGGCTTCACGTTGTGGTTTAATGCTTATCTAAGATGTTTTATTACTTTTCTACTTTGGTGGAGAGCTTGTCTGGGTTGGAAAACAGTCAGAAGGAAATCTGCCAGCCCAGGCGTAGTACTGAAAAGCTGTCTAGGGCCCCAGGTGGAAGAGGGCTCTCCTGTGCCTTTATGCAGAGAGGTGGAGCATCAGCTTAGCTTCGCCCAGGCAGTTATACTGCCACTGGCCGTGAGTTCAATGTTAAAGACTCAACAATATATTAAGTAAGTGTCTTTAAGCAGAAGCACGCACAGAACAAGGTTATGCATTGATCAGATGACAGGAAGTATTTCAGGGCTGGCTAACCCAGTGTTGGTGGTGACTTTACAGAGCATAAGTATTGCGAGTAGCAAGAGTCGGCTGAAGGAGGCACTTTAAAAGGGGCTGAGCGACTCACTGGTTATCTCTTGAACAACACTCTGTCCGGTGGGGCGCTCTGTTCAACCCCGCTCTACAGCTCCCCAAATCCACCTGACAGGAAACACGTTTAATACGCTCTGAGCTTTATTTAATACTCTTATCATTAGTAATGCTTAGAGAGTATTAAATTTGTGTTAGTGTTAAATTTCATACACTCAAAGCTTTAATACTGTCATGAGGTAAACTGAATACCCTCTGTGTTATTGTAGTACACTATATATAAAAGTTAAATTTCATGAACTTTAATACTCTGTGTTAATATTAAACACACTCTAAGCTTCAGTACGGACTAGAGTATTACAGCTCAGAGCGTACTAAATGTGTTTCCTGTTACTCTGGTGGATTTGGGGAGCTGTAGAACTGGGGTGAACCACTCAGTCACTCATCTCCTCTTAAAGTGCCCCCCTCAGCCGCCCCTTGCTGCTCGCAGTAGCAATGCTCTGTAGTAAGTGGTTACATCACCACCAACGCTGGATTAGCCAATCCTGGACCACCACTCCCAGGGGGATACAGGGGTAGGTTCCCAGGAGCCTCTGGTCCCATTTCTGTCAGCTGATCCACAACTACCTCACCTTATAGGCATCTGTTTAAAGGCACTTAATTACTATACTGTTGACTCACTCTATAGTGGGAATTCACTCCATGGCAATGGATTTGCTTTGGTTTTAACTTTAATATACTCTGGGATTACACATTTTTTGTTTTAAGATACAGTATATCGAATAAATATATTTCCCACGTTTATTGGTTTTCTGAAATTAAAATTCTGCATATGGGGTGATTATAAATCAAAAGAAGCCTCTATTAACTTAAAATATTAAAAATAAAAAGAAATCAAATTGACAACTGGGATGACATTCTTCCTAAATTTCATAATTATACAAGCTAAACAAAAGAACAGATACATACTCAGAAATTCACATTACATACACTTAAAGCGTGTTTACAAGTGTGCCTTACCTACCCAACTGCTCTCACTGACAAATGTGGTTAAAATACACATTCACACACACACCCCACCCCAATACAACCCTGCATTTACAGCACAGCTCCCAGGAAACAAACCAATCCAAAGACACCTACTTACAGATTCAGTTTCGCTAACCAGAAACTGGTGAAACTTTTCCAATTGTGGAGACTTCCTCAAGATTTTCCGACTTAAATTTGTGTGCCATGCAAGTTCTTCAGGATACCTGCCCAAAGAGAAAATACAGCAATTATACATTCTATACATTCCAGTGCTCTTTACAACTTCTTGTGTAGACGGGTCATATACCACACGTGAGCCCCCCTACTCCCCCCAATCTGCGCTCCCTGCTGCCATCCCTGCAGCTGTCAAGTATAGCCAGCCCTCGGGGATGGATACGGGGCACAGGGAGCCTGGCCAGGGCTCCATGATGCCCCATCAAAACCCAGACGTTATAGGAGATATACATACGTGATTACAAGAGATGTGATCTATGGTTATATCATATGCTACATGGATTATACGAGATATGATACCCAGTAACATCATATGACGCGTACATTACAAGAGATGTCAGGTTATACCATGATACACACAGTACAAGAGATACAAAACCGTGAAGCTATAACGGTGAAATGTTGACGATCCCGTGACAAACTAAGCAGCCTCTGTTCGTCACTATGGTTAAGTTAATGAGGGCACACAGTTCATGGGAAAAAAGATCTAACAGCGTGAGGAATTACTCATGCTGGAAGAACTACAGATTGCAGAGAACCAAAACAACTCAGCAGGGCAGCGTCTTGGTAACTCTTTGGGCTGCGGACCCCTCTGAGAAGGATGAAGTCCCCTACGATCAGAACTGAGGACAGAAAAAGAACAGGAAGCGAGAACATCACGGGAGAGAGCACGTGACTGGCAGCGAGGCACAGAGGCTTCTGGGAGTTTGCTGGTATCATGCTCGGGTTCATCGGAACACCCAAACGTCGCCTCGATGAGCAGGGCTTTCAAAGGGGGCCCCCAACCCTTCAGGTGTCAGGGTGTTTGACAAACATTTGGTCGGAATTTCTAAGAACCATGTATTTTCACTTAGTTCTTAGAAATTCTGACCAAATGTCTGAAGCATTTACTGATGAAGATCCAAGACCACAGCCTTCAGTATGGATTACACCTCAACATAAAGAAAACAAAAATCCTCACCACTGGACCAATAAAGAACATCATGATACATGGAGAAAAGATTGAAGCTGTCAAGGATTTCGTTTTACTTGGATCCACAATCAACACCCATGGAAGTAGCAGTCAAGAAATCAAAAGATGCATTGCACTGGGCAAATCTGCTGCAAAAGACTTTTTTTTTTTTTTTTTGAACTATTGTACTTTAAGTGAAAATTTACATTTCAAGTTAGTCTCTCATATAACAATGTATACATACATTGTTATGTAAGCCTAATTGCTCTCCCTATACTATGAGAGCACACTCCTCCTTTCCACCCTGGATTTCCTGTGTCCATTCAACCAGCTCCTGACCCTCTCTGCCTTCTCATCTCACCTCCGGACAGAAGCTGCTCATTTAGTCTCATGTATCTACTTGATCTAAGAAGTACACTCTTCACGGGTATCATTTTATGTCCCGTAGTCCAGTCTAATCTTTCTCTTAAGAATTGGCCTCAGGGATGATTTTAGTTCTGGGTTGATAGAGAGTCCGGGGGCCATGCTTTCTGGTGATCCTCCAGTCTCAGACCATTAAGTCTGGTCTGCAAAAGATCTCTGTAAAGTGTTAAAAAGCAAAGATGCACTCTTGAAAACTAAGGTGCACCTGACCCAAGCCATGGTGTTTTCAATCATTCCATATGCATGTGAAAGCTGGACAACGAGTAAGGAAGGTGGAAGAAGAACTGACACCTTTGAATTGTGGCGTTGGTGAAGAATACTGACTATACCACGGACTGCCAGGAGAACGAACAAATCTGCCTTGGAAGAGGTACAACCAGAATGTTCCTTAGTAGCAAGGATGGTGAGACTATATCTCACATACTCTGGACACGTTATCAGAAGGGATCAGTCCCTGGAGAAGGACATCATACTTGGTAAAGTAGACGGTCAGCGAAAAAGAGGAAGACCCTCAATGAGATGGACTGACACAGTGGCTGCAACAATGGGCTCAAACGTAACAACGACTGTGAGGATGGTGCAGGACCAGGCAGTGTTTCTTCCTGTTGTATGAAGTGTCACTATGAGTCAGAACTGACTCGACAACACCTAACAACAACGACATGTATTTTCACTATTCCTAAAACAAATCAATGCCGCAAGGTTCTGAATTGTTTCATGTATGAAAACACACTGGCCATCGATGACGAGCTCCTCGGCCAGCTGTCACCTATCCAGACCTGAGAGCGAGGCACTGTCTGCCATGTCTGTGAACATCTTCTAACGTCAGACAAAAGCCACAGTGGATGAGGAAGGTCGGGCTGTGTGAACTTGCCGGCACCTGTCCACTGACCTGCGACGAGCGAGCACATTTACGCAGCCCGTGAGCCCCAAGCTCAGTTAACGGAACGCCAGCTCAATTAACGGAGCAGCCGGCGATAAACCCCACTGCCGTTTTAGCATTTCTCGTTAAGTCTCATGAGCTCTATTTGGCAAGGCAGGGATACGATGTTCCCAGGCGTCCAACTCCACCTACAGCAACAGCAATGAAAACGGAACGTTTGGAAAACTTGACAATCTGAGTGCCCGGAAACGCTGAGGGATTACCTGACAAACTCAGGCTCTGAAGATTTTAAGGTATTGTTCAAGAGTCATGATGTTACAAGATGTATTTAAAAAGTATCTTCTGCCAAATAATGAAGGTTTAAACTGACTGAATGTTCACTGCCATGCTCCAAATGTCCCTAGTGCTTAATCCTCGCTTCTACGCCTTGTTCCCGCCTCAATTTTTAACATGATTCAAAACTACACGATCAAAATAAAATCATGTTTATTGGGCAATTAAAAGAAAATTTATGAGTGGCCATCTGAGATACTCCACTGTTCTCACCTCGTTTGGAACAAGGGAGAATGAAGAAAACCAAAGACATAAGGGAAAGACTAGTCCAAAGGACAATGGACCACAACTCCCACAGCCTCCACCGGACTGAGTCCAGCACAACTAGATGGTGCCCGGCTACCACCACTGACTGCTCTGACAGGGATCACAATAAAGGGTCCTGGACAGAGCTAGAGAAAAATGTAGAACAAAATTCTAACTCACACAAAAAAAGACCAAACTTAACTGGTCTGACAGAGACTGGAGAAACCCTGAGAGTACGGCCCCCAGAAACCCTTTTAACTCAGTACTGAAGTCACTCCTGAGGTTCACTCTTCAGCCAAAGATTAGACAGCCCCATAAACAAAATGAGACTAAATGGGCACATCTGCCCAGGGGCAAGGACGAGAAGGCAGGGGGGACAGGAAAGCTGGTTAAGGGGAACCCAAGGTCGAGAAGGGGAGAGTGCTGACGTGTTGTAGGGTTGGTAAACAATGTAACAAAACAATATGTGTATTAATTATTTAAAGAGAAACTAATTTGCTCTATAAAGTACAACTAAAAAAAAAAGAAAATTCAACTTTACGTTTTTTCTTTCCATTGAGGTGAAATGGTGGGCGTGCACTGAAATCTGGCTTCAGCTACACAGTGTTTAATAAGATCTGCCAGCCCACTGCAACCTCTGTGACAGTGAATACCCCAGCGCCTGCCTCTGCGACAGCGAATACCCCAGCGCCTGCCTCTGCGACAGCGAATACCCCAGCGCCTGCCTCTGCGACAGCGAATA